CATATGCTACATGTTAGCCAGTTAGCAATGCACTTGACTTTTTCTGTCTCCACTGGTATTTAGGAGCGATAGTAAACAATGGATTTAAGAGTTAAGATAATTTAATTGAGTTATGAAATGTCATGAAATGGACATTCAGCCCTGAGTTTTTAAAAAAAATCATTATGTTTTCAATGTTTAAGTAATTACTTTGCCAGGCTTTTAGAGCTGCAATTTTAAAATAATGATATGGCGATGTGAATTGTCAGAAATTGCTTATAAAGGCGTTTTTTTTTTTCATTTCTTCATCTGCAACACAGCTTATCTTTGGTTACCTCTCTAATGTTTTGTTCAAATGTCAAGAACCTTCCATCAAATGTTAAAATCTGTTGGGTATGTTTCTGCAATATAAATAGAATGTCACTATCAGAATACAATCTAATCCAAACATTTGCATTTGTTTATAGAATGAAAATGTTTGGTTTGTCTGGGTTGGAAACATAGACAACATATAACTGGGAAATGTTTAAAACCTAGAACCCGGAACTAAACCATTTGTGATGTACAACATCTTGTATTTAACATGGGCCTTTCTGTTTCTTGTTGAAAGGGCACACATTTATCCTAATGAGGGTCAGGTTTCACTAATGAAAAGAGGTGTGATATGTTTAGCTGAGTGAGCTTCACCGATGCTCCACTCATCCATGAGGGCAGTGCTGTGGGGCATCAGGTGTGCCTCCTCCTGCGCTGTCTGCCCGTTAAATATGCTCCCTTAATCCAATGTTAACACGCAATCCCAGAGCCTATGGCTGGGGAGTACGTCATATTATAAAAATAAAATATACAGTGATATCATTTGTCACTCACGTTATTTTATTTTCATTTTACTACATTAATTTATCAAACAAAATAAGATAACAATAAGATAAGAATGACTTAAATTGGCCTGCATATACATACTGTCTCATCACAATCTTTTATCTCATAAAACTGATCACAGGCCAGTGATAAGTCTTGAGTGTTAGGCTAAAGTCTATAACCCTTTAGCATTACTTAAGAGAAAAACAAACATGTTAGAAAAACTTTTAGTTAAACTAAAGCATAGAACTTTGAACACTCATGTTTAATGTTTTTAATTTCTAGTCTCACTCTCATTTCAATTGTAAGTAAGTAAGTAAGTAATCTTTATTTATTTATATACCGCCTTTTCACTGCAGATCTGAGTCTCAAAGCGGTTTACAATTGTTAATTTTTTTGGGCATTTGTCTCTCACTCCACACAGAGATGGGAGCAGGGTCGCCAGTACAGGAGGCGCCTGTACTAATGCCAGAACTATTGGACATATTTTTAGTGGTAGGGGAAACCGGAGTACCCGGAGGAAACCTACGCAGACACGGGGAGAACATGCAAACTCCACTCAGAAAGACCCTGGTCCGACCGGGATTCGAACCCAGGACCTTCTTGCTGAGAGGCGAGAGTGCTATCCACTCAGCCACCGTGCCGCCCACTCCCAGCCACCGTGCCGCTATCCACTCAGCCCCGTGCCGTATTGTGGGTCTTATAGCTGAATGTCTTTATCTCTTGTTGTTACTAGGGGTGTGACGATATATCGTTTTTTTGATATATCGCGATACTTTCTCCCGCGATTCGATTATCAATATGCATTTGCCAAGTTTTTTTTTTGAATTGGTATCAATACTTAATATATGGCTACATTAAGCGTTTCCATTCTATTTATCATGAAATAAAGAGTAATTTTTCTTTTATTTATGCCATAAATTTGCAAATTGTATATTTCTGACCAGGCTCAGCTAGGGTGAGGGAGGTAACAAATTAAAACCAAGATGTTGAATGGAAAAGCAAGTATTTAATAAAAGGCAAGTAAATGATAAGGAAACAAATCAAAAGGACACCACAGGACATAAGGGGGTAACTCAACGTTACCAAAATAAACCTACACTAAACACTTAACACTAAGCCACCTAGAACTTAACACTAAACCTACTGCTGTCTCAACAAAAGCGAAGTGTCACAAAAACAAAACCTCGAAGTGACAAATAAAGAGAGACAAACCAACTAAAAGCTATAAGGACCATAAGGACTGTCTAAAAGTCAGTGCCACCACTGTGACACTGACAGACACTTTCATAAGGACAGAAGCACAATGGCATACCAGCCACACACACAGGCTGGCAGCCTCGAACAGGTGTGGAGTGTGGCCTTAAGTGGAGACTGACTCCAGGTGGGGGAGATGGACCGGCCAGGTGCACCGCCGCTCCTCCAATCAGCACCCGAGTCACAACCTCCGGGAGGCGGGAGGGCCAGTGAATGACCAATGACAGGCCAGGGATCTTCAGACATGAGGTTTCCACACACACACACAAAATACAAAAACAGGGAGCAATATGTAGGCTCAGGGCCGTAGCAATATCAATAATCGTCGTATCGTGATAAAATCGTTATTGTGATATTATCGTTATCGTGAGCTTTGTAGCGTGTATCGTATCGTATCGTGAGGTTCCCACCCCTAGTTGTTACACAGGACACAGATAAACTGCTGCTAAACAGACTTGACTAATATGACAGTAAATGAATTAGCAGCCAGTTGGTCCAGACACTTCACTGTGATGAAAGCTGAGGCAGACACCAAATCCTCTGGTGCGCACCATAACGGAATGCCTGGTTCATTTGTGGATTTATTTGGACCTTCATGCTATTGGGTTAATACTGTATTAAGCTGTGAGCTCTATTTCAATTACGCCCGAGGAGTCAGTAGGGCAGTAGTGTGGCTGCCTCTCTTTTCCTCTGCGTTGTCCTGTCTCATCTTTGTCCAAGCCATCTGTCACAAATCTCATCAGCTCTGTATGAGCCTGCCCCACAACATACCTCCGACAAAACATGAAACTAAGACATTTTCTCTGGTTCTTTGACGTTAGTAGCATTTTTGTAGGGGTTGTTTATTTGTAAGTACATTTGTTAAGGTATTGTACATGCTTTGAATGAGGAACAAAACATCAGTGAACTAAGTTATTAAATAGTCTGTGGTGAAAACATGGATTGTCAGAGTCATGGAAATACAATTCTTTCATCATTGGTTACAAGAATATAGGAGAACAAACAATTATGCTTGATGCCTCAATGGTATCTGATTTAATTAAAAGCATGGTTAGTTACAATTTAACTAGAATAACTGGTTCCTTACTCTCAAAAGAGCTTGATTCTGACTTCTATTTTATCACTAGTTTTCACATGTATTTTTGGCAACATCTTCTTCACACACAAATGTGAAAAACTGGACTTTATAGGTCTAGTCTTCAATTGATTTATTTTTAATTCCAGCAGACATTGATCCAAGTAGCTACTTGAGTTTCTACGCAAACATGAGATATCGAAACTCGCCTAATATTGAAGCAGCTATAGGCCTTCAAAAATGTAAAGGTAATTAATTAAAGTGGTCTTTAGAAAACCTGTGTCCTAATAAGTCAGTTGTGAAAAATTGGGCACGATGATGCTGCAGCAATATTAATGATATTTATGATCCATGTGTCGTCACGTACTGGATTTTACTGGACCTATAATGGACTTTTTATAATTGTATTTTGCTGATATTGTGCATTTATGTCAGATAAGTCCAACAAGAATTGGCAGCACAAGAAATACCATTAAAACTATCCTCATGTAGTCTTACTGAAACACAGTGAACAGTTACCTTTTGTAACGTGCTTCCTTGGCCTTTCACTGGATTTGCCAGAGGAGTACAAACCCTCTCAAGTGTTGGTGGTGAATGTGTAAGCTATGTATAGGCTTAGGTTTTACACAAGCACGCGCCAATAAAAAGACACTTATTAAATGGCCAGCAGACGCTTAGACAGACGGATGTATTTTTTACTATGGACAAGTCTAGCACTCAAAGTAGTTTGATTTGCTCAAAGAGAAGTGGGAGGGTATAGAGCTGAATGAAAAAGAAAAGATGCAGTTAGTTCAATGCAAGTCCAGGAGATGCAGTACATTGAAGTTTTGATTCAGCTGTGTCATGTCCCGAGAGAATTAGGAAAACATAATAGTAGTATAAAGATAATATTTTAAAAGAGTAGAGTGTTTAAACTAGGACTTTCATTTTGTGATTCAAAAATGTTATTGGAAGCTGATCCACTGCACTTCATAATCATCGTGTCATCACTTTACTATTTGATAATGACCAGATGTAACATTTATGGTAATTTGTCATCTACCCCTTATGGACCAATACCAATTCTAAAATAATTCCACTATTTTCTTTTCTGTTGGCAGGCTGCAGACAAACAGAGCTATCCGGGGAGGGGGATGCAGATGAGCGGGGTCAGGGATCACCTCTTGACACATTGGTGAGGACATGAGCGACGCATAGAAACAGGTTACGCAACTTTTTATCATTCTTTGTCTTCATGTAGTATTTCCCTAATCTCCGGTGGAGACTTTGATAGGTCCTGGCATGCTCCTGAGCCATAGCACTTATTTTACTATAGGCTACTAGGCACACAACAGTAACATTGTGAAAGAAAGGGACGTGGCAGCCGGTTTGCTGGGAAACTATCTGAAAGAAAACGTTGGTTTGGTGATCAGAAAATTAACTGATTGATGATAAGAAAGCTGTGGCAAAAGTTGCAATAAAGAGAATAAAGAGAAGTCTAGCTTGTAATCTTGCAAGAAATTACAATTCTGTACTTTTTGGATACAAAAAATTAACCTCAAACAAGACCTTCAAAACTGGCGAAGGTATTGTATTGTACACATACAATTATGTGTACAATCCACATAATTTCCCTTAAAAAAATTATTTCAGCACCATTTAGTTGCAAACTTGTACATATTTCTACTACTTTTTGCTATATTCGAAATTTCCTTGAGAGGCATATAGCTATACTCTTACAAGTAGCAAAGCAAGTGCATAAGTGGAAATGTGCTGATTAAGGTATGCATTTATTTTAATGCAAGATCATTAATTCTGCTTTGAGTTTTATTTTGTGTAGGGATTTTCTTACCTTCCTCGGCTAAATTGGGCTGGAAAACCACACAGAGCGCCAGTAAGATACTCCACATGTCCACAACTGAATGACACTGACAGAGAGAGGGAGAGGGGAGCCGTGTGTGGGGTGAGGGAGGGTGGAGGAGGAGCCTGCTCAGCCGCGCTCTTCATCACAGAGAGAGACGAGGACTGGGGGTGGATAGATGGAGTGATGAGTGGATGAAAGCAGTGAAAGAACATTTTTGGCTTATGGGCTCTTGTGACGCCCCAGGCATAGGGATGGGTGATATAAGGCAAACATTTGTTACACAATTTTCTGCTTTTTTTGTAATGCTTAAAGGTCGTGAATAAAAATAATTCAACATGGCGTCATTAGTCAAATCCATGCAGGGCTGAAAACAAGATCAATATCTGTAATATTTGCACAATAACTCAACTAATAATGTAAGATAATGATGTGAAAAAAGTATAAAAACTATTTCTCAAAAAGTACCCTAATAAAGAAAAGTGAACAATGCAAATTAGCAATTGGGAATTTTAATTAAATGTTTGCTATGAATGTGTGTGTGTAATGCAGCATTAGGCTATGGACAAAATAAGATACTGAAATTAATAAAGAAGCTAATGAAAAAAACACTGAGCTCCAGAAAACAGAAAATGTGTAAATGATGATGATTCATAAATAAAAAAGCCTTTGTTCACAGGAATTATATCATGACTTTTTTTTTTATCAACATCTGCCAGCCCTAATGAAAGAAAACTGCACCACCTACTTTTAAGAAGGAGCACCTGTATCTTACAGCTTAAGTACATGTATACTGTTCAGGCCATACAGTTTATTGCAAAATAACTAGCTTTTGCAATAAATGTTATGCTTTTTCAATAAATTTTATGCTTTTTCAATAAGGGTTATGCTTTTTAGCGCCCCATACAAATGCTCCCCAACGGTAAAATGTTCTTTTAGACCTGGAGAACATGACAAACACAAAGAACATTTAAATTCAAAATGAGGGATGAATTATATGCAATATTTACAGAGGGTGTAGTAGGAACAGCAGTTAAAACAATAGGAGCATTAATAACACACTCGTTTAGTCATTCATTGCATCTTTCCGTGATCTCCCTCACAGCTTCACACATTAATTTTTGTGAAAAGAACGAACTGGCAAGCAACAAACCGGACTTACTGATAATACACTCAAAACAAAGCAAATATTTTGTCTCACACATGGTCTGGTTTAGTGCTGTATCCCAGGTTTACTTCACACATCAGTGCTCCTAATGGATTAATATTGTCTCATTCAGATTTAATACTGTTATGTATTTATTTATAATTTTAAAGTGACTGGATTCTGTTTATCAAAAGGTTTTAACATTATCAAGATGTTTTCAAAATGCGTTGAAATATAGTACTATGACAAACATGTGTTAGATTAGTGCTGTAATTTTGAATTAGAAAAAAGAAAATACATACATGAGTAAATTGCAAAGAGAAACATATATGTTTATATAGATTATGAATTATATTGATATTTTAACCTCAACACAACATGTGCTTTTGCAGGAATACTGGGGCTTTGTGTTTTTTAAAATATTAGTATACAAGCCTAAAAAAATCTCATCCAACTTTTGTATCGTTTCAATGCATATTTTAGAGGAGTTTTGCTTTAAAGTCTCTTTTTTATGATGACCTGAAAACGTGTTCAGTGGTTTCTATTATACATCATAGTAAATTGAATATTTTCTCTGTTCATTCCAGCTGAATCCCTGAAATACTTCTTTGAGCCACATTCAACTAACTCAGAGTTTGCTCATACAGGCATCTCCAGGCTGGATCTGAATGTGAACGTAGACAGAGCGCACACATCGCAGCTCCACCCACTGGCCGCATTGTGCTACTGCAGCTTGTTGTCAGCTCTTCATGCTCCAGTTCCCTAGATGAGGAAGACTTCAGTAGACTCTCGTGGGGAGATGCTGCTTTCCCCTGGTCGACACAGTTCCATGGCCCCATTCCCAGGCACCCGGGGGCCCACGGCTTTGTACTCTGAATGCTTGGGGTGCAGAAGGTAAACGAATGGCAATTTCTAGACCATTTAAAACTAACACACCGGTGAACATGCTTTAGCACCTTTAACCTTTAAGAGTAGCTGATACGTTAATACAAAATTTAAAAGTTCAAGGGGAGTGTGGTATTCGCTTAAGATCTAGTACATTAACATGACATAGTGCTACAAATTCGAAACCAAACTTATCTTCTTATGATTTTTACAGTCCACGGGTTAGGGGACACAATTTGAATCAAGAAATGATAGGCCAGAGATATGACATGAAGATTGTCCCTCTTGACGCATTTCAAAAGACAATAATATTCTCTGAGAAGTTTGATATTAATGTTCAGATTCAAACACACATTCCTACACACTACTTCCATACTTTATGACAAATAATTGTTACTGTAACCATTCAAGGCGGCCATCTGTGTGTGACTCTGTCTTTTGAGGAAGCCCCACTGAGTAAATCTACTAAAACTGATGTGCCTTACAAATCATACGCATCACCTCTTTTATCACAACTTAAAAGCATCTGTTTATTGATAGTCGCAAAGGTCCAGTTTTTTTTTGTCTCATCCACCCTGGCATTTGTTTTCTCCATCCAAAAACTCAAAAGGGCAAAATGTGCATAAACAAAAAACAGACAGAATACCACGATTTGTATTAATAACAGCAACAGTAGGAGTAGAATGTTTTTGCAATATGGAGATAGAACATTGACTAGGGATGTAACCATGTTCAAATTATTAGTATTAAAATGGTGATAATTCTGAGATCTAATTGTCTTTTTAAGCATATTTTTTTTCTTATCACTTTCATAATTCAAAACATTCAATTTGCAATGGTTTAGTAGCGAGTAATTGATTTATATTGCAGCAGCAAACCAGTGCATTAAGTGTAGATACGTTTGTCCATAACAGTGTATTGTAAGACTTTTGATATTAAGATGAAATTATATATAAACAAGTGTATCCCTATTTCTTACATTAGATCAATAATTATGCTCAAGTCAGTGCATCTAGTTCCAGCAATGTACTGTATCCACAAGGCATCCTCAATCATTACATACAAAACGAGTTCAGTTAGATTTGACATTTTACACATAATTTCACACATTTTCAACACATAAAACAGGCTTTGTGCATTACAATAAATACAAATATATCACTCTACTTTTAGTGTCTTTTGACCTTTCACATTCAGCCTGCCAATGCTCATTTTTAACATCCCTCACTTGTGAGTCAACTGAAGCAACTGTGCATTTCATATAGACTTTATAAAGTTTGTTGAAATTAAATGCGTTTTAGAAGTACAGTACCATTGATGTGCAGAGATATAAAATACAATAAGGATTGTAAGGTTAATGCTTCAGGAGCCAAATGCCCATGACTATCTAATCTCATGTTATTACTGGCACTAGTTTCATTAGGGGGAGTTTAAACAAATATCTTGTAAATTCAATCCCACAAAAATGAAAAACCTGTGGCATTCTTCAGTGTATTTCTATCTCCTCAAGACAACATTGGTCCCATCTCCTGGCAGCGACTTTTTGGGTCAGCTAGATGCTCCAAAACCAGCTTTTGGAGCTTGACCTCAATACATTAAACCCCAAATCCTACAGCTTTTTAAACACTGGGGGCAGTTAGGGCCCAGGTCTTAACTCTGAGCATATGTTGATCCTCTTAAGAGGCAATATGCATGAAGCTCCCATTTAAATGTCAACAAATGATGACACACCAGTTAAAAGCTTTTGTCTCAGTTTAACCAAACCTTTCTCCAAGTTATAGATTTTAACAAAGCGTTCTGATTGTTCGCAATTTGAAAAATCTCAATCGTAGCAAAGGCAGCACTTGATTCAAATGCGGCGAAACATAACTAGTTCATTCCTCACTTCCTTGCGCATACCACCAACATCTCAATAATTCAACGCAACAAGTTTATGAGCACTTTTCAAACTTTTCAAAACCATCAGAGCGAGCACAGCCCTCTAAGAATGCACTCCCTTCACTGTCACATTCCTTGAGCATTTAGCAATTAAATATTTGTTCAAAGCTTTGCAATTAAGTTGTACATTAATAGTGCATGTTGTAACTTTTCAGAGGGAGAGCACACTTGCTAATAGGGAACAGAATATTTGTATAATCTACAGTAGAATGGAATGAATATGAAGGTTTTAGTCCCTCTTTCTTCATTCCATAGTATAAACCGTTTCAAAAGCAGACCCAAAAATGCCGCCCTGAAGGCTATCTCTAATTTTTTCTACAAAGGGTTTTATGAATGCCATCAATCACTATTTTATATTGCTTTTCCACTAATATTCCAATAATATCTCTTGATAAATAGTTGTTTAAAACCTGTGGACTTTAGCCTGGGAATGCCCATGCTGCTGAGTGTCAAATCGTTTTGAACTGCACAACATACAGTATACAAATATTCTCAGGTTCCCAGCCTTGCATGTTTGTCTCCATGATTATGTCTTTACTGAGCGTCCCATAGTATCGAATAGAAAGTGTATCCTTCAGCTGAAAATGTTTGAAGTGCACCTTAAACTGTCTTCAAGTGAAAGGCCTAGTCCTACCCTGTTGACGGAAGCTGCTTGATTGTGATTAGCCCTGCATCACATCGTTAATTAGCATCATCACTGCTTATCCAGAGGTAGGTCGACCATAGGCACTTTGTCGTTGGGGGACATGGGAGCAGGATCTTTGCCATCGGCCACTAGCACAGCCTCTGGAGCTGGGGAGGCCGGAGTTTTCCCAGCACTCGCAGCAAATCCCTGGGCAATGTCGTCAAAAGTCCGCCCTTTGGTCTCAGGCACACGCAGGAAGGTGAAGATGAAGAAGAAGATGAGCAGCACCACAAAGATGAGGAAGACATAGGCATCACAAATTTCCTGAAACAATGAGAGACGGGATTGGAGTCAGTGGAGAGCAGTTTTTTTAAGCAACATGGAACGTATACTATTTGTAGTAGGATTTTATTTTGAGGAGTTTTTATTGATCTCAGTCTCAAATATAGGGATATAACAAATGGACTTTAAAGTGTTGAATTGACGTAGGCTTACTCAATGTTCAAAATAATCTGACCAAAATGTCCATTATTACATTTGACCATTTTTTCACTATAGATCAGAGAAGAGAATGCTCACTGCCAGTTTGGGAAAGCCCAGTCCAACCAGGAAGTTGGCGGTCCAGTTGGACAAGCCGGATACAGCCATCGCAGCCGGTCGCGGCCCTTGGGAAAATAGCTCAGCCACAATGAACCACGGGATTGGACCTGGACCCATCTCAAAACTCGCCACAAACCCAAAGATGGCTACGATGGCCAGGTAACTCATGGCCGGGTTCGTCTTCTGCTCAGGAAAAAAAAAGTTTAAGGAAATATTCTCAAATTACGCAGTTATAATATCCCTGTGCTATTTAAAAGTTATACTATCCCTTAAGTAACATTAATACTAACTACTACTACTACTACTACTAACTAGTAATGTTAGTAGTGAGTCTAAGTGTGATCATTCAAAAATCATACTCAAGTAACAGCAATGTTATTACACAAGTAGAAGTATAAATTATTCTTGCTCAAGTGTATAAACAGGGTTTATGTCTGAAAACAAGTTCATTTATGTATGGCCTCTTACCACCAAAGCGAGGGAAATGGTCATAAGCAGTGCACAGACTGCCATTCCTGCCAAGCCAATCAGGTGCAAGGTTCTTCGTCCTGCCCTTTCAACCAGGAAGAGCTTCGTAGATCAAGAAAAAATAAATAAATATTGACTCAAATCGGGGATTGTAATATTTAAAAGAACAAAAGAAAGAGCACTTACAGAGACCACAGTGAAGACAGTATTGACAACTCCAGCTCCGATTGTGGCGTAGATGGGTTGAGTCACTCCAGCCGTTTCAAATATGCTGGTAGAATAGTAAAATACCTAAAGGCAAGAATATCCTTCCTTTAAACAATGTGTTATTTGACAAGACAGTAGCTAAATAAATTATGCGTTTATGACTTTGCATGAGAGAAAGGTTGCTTTGTGTATGGGTTGAGTTTGGTAATGGATGTTTGTTCAAGGTTAAACTCGTGTCCCAGTGCGAGCCTTTAATCCTGCGGTTGTTGTAAACTCCCATGTAAACTATTGCAATAAACTTGTAAACTACATTGTCTTAATATAAATGGAAGCACGAGCCTCTATTGCACTGAAAGATAGACATGTTTTTTTTAAAGAATTACACAATTAGTGTCTGATTTTGTGTATCTGTCAATTGATGCAGTTTTGAGGACCCCCTTGAAAACAAGATGATTCATCTCTCTGGGCTTATCCTCCGAACAAGGAGGAAGAAATTATCCTTGCCACACGTGAAATTTGTTTCAAGTTTGGTTCCACAAGTGGTTTTGTCTTAAAGGAGCAGTACAGTATGTAAAAATCTGGCCAAAAGTGGTGCTGCAACCTCTCCCACTCTCCCTGACTCAGGTTGCCAGATATGCAGACAAATCCAGCTGGGACCATAATATCTGAATAGACAAGAGTTTTGTCAACAACAAATCTATAACCAACACCTTTTTCACAATGGCCCGATTGAAATCCTTGTTTCATTCCTTGTTTTGTCATTAATGATTTGAGAATCATAACAAGACCTTTTTTGTACTGCGGCTTTATGTTAATTTGCCAGTGACATTGGCTCGACGCAATGAGTTCTGGCAACCCAGATCACAGAATTTCTGATTGGTAAAACGGTGGAGGGCGGGACATCAAAATGAAAACAATAACAAGATTTAGGGGCTGTAAAACAAATTTTGAAATTCAAATATCTCGGCTGAACTACTGTTATCAGTTAAAGAAGTATTCAAAAAGAGCATGGTTTATTTATGCCTTTTGACAATATTTAATGATGACTTGACAAGAAAATCTTACACATTACTACTTTAATGCAGACATGTTGCTGCATGATAAACTGCATGTCATTTTTGTGTCATCTTGATAATTACTGGCACATCCTATAATTTTTCTGACTTGTCCCTCAGCTCAAATTAATTCTGTAAAGATATTCTAAAATATGTCTTGTGAACTTTTAGCTAAGATATACAGTTTGAACTCCTTCCAGCTACTAAGTGGTTAGGTGGAACTGAAGCCTTGTTGGCCACATAGACTGCATATTAGGAGTGGACTGACCAAGTCCTGACATCACGCATAATGTGTAGTGAAGAGGCCGATGTGAACATAGGCTAGCTGGAGAGGAATGTCCTTATATGGGCATTTTTTTCCGGTGGTGTTAGTATGATGCCGTAACAGGGGCAGTTGCTAAGGAAAGCTGCTAAGAAAATCAAAATATAAACACCAGAGAGCGTAATGCCACAGATTGTGACACAAACAATTTCTGAGCTAGAGGAGTCTTCTTGTCAATGTAAGTCAATAGGAGCAGGGGGAGTAGGAGCAAAACTTCATCCACGAGCACTTCTCCATTGAGCTTCATTCAGCTAGGGGGTTAGCATTCCCTTCTATATACATTCTATAGGTCAGGCACTCACTGCGTTGATGCCAGACAGTTGCTGAGAGAGCTGTAGGACGATGGCAATGATAATGGGCTGGCGATAAACAGGAGATCGGAAAAGCTCTGCTATTGTGACCTTCTTTTCCATGGACATCTTCAGAGCCTCCCCCTTCATCTCCTGAACATCGTCATTGACGTCCTCATGGCCACGCAGCCGCTCTACGGCTAGAGGGACCCAGAGAAGAGATGCATGTTCAAAGTGATTTATAACATAGAGCAGTGTTTTTCAACCACTGTCAACACTGCCAGTATGATGTGCCGTGAGAAATTCGCCTACTTTGTCTAAAAATAAATGCATCCACCGTTGACGAGTGCTGGCTAGTTTTGAACTGTGGAGTAACCATGTAATACTTCTTCATACAACCAAGTAACAGGTAGCGGGGAGCGTTGTGGCGAGTGAGAAGTGAAAGTGATTTTGACGTTTTTGAACAGGAATTAACAATTATGCCATTTCTGAACAGGATTCACATCCTTCACTCTGACCCTGGGAAAACACGGACTCGTGGTCCTCGTGTTCAGGACCACGAGTTGGTGTTTCTCCTGTGTCTCCTGCCGAAGCACAACCAAAACTCCCAAATTTAAAGCTTGGATACCATCATTTTCCCCATGCATTGACAATGAATGTTATTTGTGCACATAAGTAAAAGGTTGTGAGCAAATCAAACAGAACACACAGCAGGCCATTTTTGTATTATTATTTTGCATACACTGGAGCCCTCTGACCCATTATTTTACTTTTTGGGCTGAGAGTGGATTATTGTATGTTTTTGTTCCACACAGTTATTGCCACTTTATTCCCAAACTCTTGTTGACTCATTTTATTGAGAAATATTAAACAAAGCTTAATGTCAAGGCCTGGATTTACGCACTTTGATGAGAATGACTTTATATTGTAAATATAGGCTACAGAGTATATTTTACATTTTCTCCTAGTGGTGTGCCGAGAGATTTTTTCAATGAAAGAAATGTGCCTTGGCTCATAAAAACACTCACATAGAGTTTATGTCTGCCTTTTTTTCCTCTTTTTTTTGCTTGAGCTGTTTGCTGCAGTACAGTGTTCATGGTTTTGACAAGAGCAGAGAAAATTATCCAAACCAACCGGGTACTACACCTTTTGACCTGTTCTGCTCCACCCAGAGGCTACTCCACCTCTGCTGCTGTGACCCATCCTGCTCCACCCAGAGGCTACTCCACCTCTGCTACTGTGACCAGTCGTGCTACATCCAGAGGCTACGCAACATCTGCTGCTGTGACCTGTCCTTCTCCATCCAGAGGCTTCTCCATCTCTGCTGCTGTGACCTGAAGGCCTGTAGCTGATTAATACTATTATTAGCTTTTTAGAATTATCAGTTTAATTTTTGCTGCTACTAGACACCTGAATTTCTCCTCCGGGGATCGATAAAGTATCAATCTATCTATCCACCTATAAATCGGTCTTTATAAATCATATTACTGCTGCCCCTGATTCTGCGCCAGGAAAAGGTATACGATCATTTATATTTATTTGCTGAGGATGGAAGTTAAATAGCTGCAGTATATTGCCAAACTGACCCTTTCTGGCCTCTTCCTCTTTGTTGAGAACGATGAGGAGGTACCGTGGGCTCTCTGGACAGAAGGGTAACATGATGGACTGAAGAACCGCTGGCAGAATTGTCAAAGCCAGCAGCAGTGGCCACAGCATGTCTGAGCCCAGCAAGAACTCCAGGCCAAAGATCTTAAACAAACAACAACATGTATAACTTCGGAGTGCAAGACCATTTTTTCACACAGCCTTTCATACAGGATGGGGGGTTGATGAAGTGTCTTCTCAAAAAACACAACTGCACTATGCATGTGAGGACTGTATTTTTGTAATACGTCGTTATTCGTTGGTTTCATATTATTTATTTATTTTCCGCCAAAAGGATTCAATTTTTGACTTTTCATTTTTTGAGTCAAACTTGTTCTTGTTTTTCTTCATACGGACTTCTACCATGTCATTTAACAATCTAGGATTGTTATTAGGATTGGATTTAAGTTATATAATACAAAGTTAGAAATTCTTCACAGTTTGTCCGACGAAGCTAGAAATGAATTCACAAATACAGCTTTACCTGAACACAACAATATACAACACACAACTGTGAGTATAACAGCGCCACCTATAGGAAGTTCAAGGTGTTGTGTTTGATCAGAGACTTCTACCATGTCATTTTCCCATCCATTGGAAGGACGGATTGGATTTATACAATTTTGTCAGAAAATGTCATAAATTCTTCACCATTTTCATGCAAGGCAGTGGGGAATTTTTCCATGTTTGAAACTCACATCACTAACTATTGATTATGGCCTGTACAAAATGGTGTGAAAATACACACCTAATATGACTCCAGAGCGCTCGTCACCAAAATTGCACAGTCAAATCTTTACATCCGTACGAGCAAAATACTACATTACGCAGAGGATGCATGTCCCACAGGTGACCACTAGGGGCACGCTGAATCCTATTAATGAGCTTTTCCATGCACAATTCTGTTTACATCAGGCTGCGAATTACACTGGATTCCACTTTTGGGACTGGCGCCCTGGGAGGCGGCTGCGAGAGTGGCGATGGCTGCTTGCATCGCTGCTTGCTGCTTTAATTCTAGTTGATTATGTACCTGTGCAACGAGGATGCCTATGACCACGCCAAGCTGATGCAATGTCCCAAAGGCTCCTCTGAGCGCTGTGGGGGAGATCTCCCCAATGTACATGGGCGTGAGTCCGGTGCAGAGACCGCAGAACACGCCGATGATCAGACGCCCGATGATGACCATCTCATAGGACCTGCTCAGGCTGGACAGTCCCATAAATCCTCCTCCCAAAACAGCCAGAATATTAGCCAGGAGCATGGACTTGCGCCTATGGTAGATAAAGAAATTACTGTAGTATTGCATTGCAGGCAGGGCTTCATATGTTCCTCAATCTCTAGTATTTTAAGTTTTTATTTTTACCTTCCAAATTTGTCAACCATCACTCCAACAGAAAAAGACCCAATCATGCCCCCAACGCTGAAGATGGCAACAGCAAAACTCCAGACCATCGTGTTTCTACCTGCAGTGAACGGCTCCCCGTAGCGCTCAAACGACACATTTTGGAAAAACTGACGCAATTTCTGTCAGGTAGAAATAAAAGTAGTTATTTTATTACCGGTACATGTTTGCAGGGGAAATAAACTAGCATTAGAATTTATGTCAAGATCTTTTGAGTGTCTGACAAATATTTGTAACCATGTAATTACAATTCGGTCAGAGTAAATGCAAGACTTGACCAAATGTTTTGCAGGTTCTTACTGGAAGTATTTTTAAATAAAAATAATTTAGAACATTTGAATAGCCTTTTTGGCATTGTTTTGTACAATGTCCACTTGAGGGCAGCGTTGAGCAGTATCATAATACATGCTATAGAAATGGCACTAGCTCAACATTATTAAATATAATTGAAAATGGTCTCTAACTGATTCAAATGCATTTTCCTAGGTTGGTCACCTCACCTTCTCTGGTGCGTTGATGACACCAGTGTTGTAGCCAAACTGCAGAGATCCAATGACAGCGGTGGACACACAGTACATAAGGTAAGGAGTGATGCTCTTCTTTGGCTGTTTTGTGAGAAAATACTCAATTAGACAAACACTGGCTGCAAATCAACTACAACATGACTGATTGTTAAAATTGTTGTTCATCTTTTCCTGTAATGTTTCAACACTGAAATATTGTATACAGTAAAAAGTCAGATGGTAATTTAGTTTATTCCAATTTGAAAGATGGGTTAACAAATATCTAACATTTGAAAATATTATTAAAAACACGTTTTGCCCCACCATTATGCCCAGTGGGCGTGTCAATGCCCAATCACTCCTGTATGAATCCTGTATGAATGGCCTGTTCCTGCTTCATTCACAAAGCTGCTGTTGTTTATTCTCAGGCCGGTAATTAGACACAATGAGTCTTTCTCCCTCAGTCCCTTGATTTCAGCTTTGCGCTTCAGCAGCTGCAGTTCCTCTGTATCCACCGTTTAACGTTGTATGCAATAAAGTCCTTCATTGTTCATTTTGAAAATAAATGTGAATTTAGTCAATGTTTTTTTTTTGTCTTCTCCTGGGGCGATATTCACAATTCACTCTCTTGTTCTGGTTTGATGCATTCAGGTTACAATCATAGACTGTATATATTAACTCATTGTTACAACCCATTGTATTGTGCTGAGTGCATGCAAGAAATGTTGACAACTCGAGCTCAAATTTTATTAGTTGATGAGATTTTTTGTAAATCTAATTATTATAATTGTGCATCATAGCCTATAATGAAACAAAGTAAAAGTAAGCCAATTAATTCATTATTGAAGTGATTGTCAAATTAACTTCACAGACTCTGGAATTTGTCATAGGACAAAGCCGTAATTAATTATTACACTGATACTGGGTAAATATAAATATATAGTAAATATATATACTTCAGGATGAATTATGTTCACAAAAAATCACATTCACATGTGTATTCTCAAGTCTATTAACGTAATTGAATAAATAATTATCTTCTTGTGAGTCCTTCACTAAAAGAATCGCCAGTTGCCTCCAGAATAGCTTTTTCCCTTCCATCCTATCTTCTTATAGTACATTATATATATATATATATATATATATTTAATCCAATAGCTTTCAGGGTCAAAGCCTAATCTCGCCATACCCATAGAAGCGTTCTCTGATACACAAATAACAATCGTAAAACTGTGCTGTTCTGGCTGGGCAGGAAACTAAACTGTTTTTGTGGCCTTAAGCTTTAGACGACACACTCAAACTGCCTCGTATGAGTCCGGTGTGTCTGTGAATGGTTGGTGGTGGTCGAGGGGCTGATGGCTCAGATTAGCAGCCTTGCTTTTGTCATTCTGCCCCCGGGCAGCTGTGGTTAAAGTAGTAGTTTACCACCGCTGTGCATGAAGTGAATGTATAATGAAATATAAAATCTTTGAGTGTCCAGAAAATTCTTTATAAACAGATCTATTATTATTATTATTAGTTGATTAAAAACAACGATAACATAATAATCAACAACATTACACTCTGACCCTCGAAGGACCACAGCTTTGAGAAGCTAAAGGAAACCCTTGAGTTAATAACACTGAATCCTATTGTGGACTTTTCCCTGCTGCTTTGAGATTTAGAAATGGGTATAACAGACTAATGCACAAGGGCTGTAACTAATCATTGTTTAGGTGGTGGAAAAGTTTGCAATTACTATGTGTTTTAACATAACATAACATTTAACCCAATGAATAAACCTAAAATTAAACTCTGCATATTGAAAATTCAACAACCAATTCTCTATTTGGGACCAATGCATGATACATGGTCACATCTGTGTGGCACCTACTTCCTTTCAAAGCTCTCAAAAAGCTCCAACATGTATTTGTTTATAAAACTGTATGTTGGAAATGAAGCACTGTGTTCTCTTGTGACAAACTGTTTCCAGTCTGAGATAGTGTCCTGTTATCAAGCTGTGATTTGTTACTTACTGAACCTTTTGTCCATAAAAGTGTTCAAACAAATAGTGCGTACAAATGCTTAAACAACGTTTGTTACTGGATGGTTTTGTCATGAATTTATTCTTTATATCTATGTTTTTTTATTTATTTTTCTCAAATACTTTATATATAATAATAATAATAATACATCAGTTTTATATAGCGCTTTTCAAGAACTCAAAGACGCTTCACAAATTCATGACACAATCACACACGTTTAGACAGACACACAAACTAAAAATCTAAGAGTGAGGAAGAAGGGTAGAGAGTTTAAACTAAGAATCAAATGCTCGGAGGAAAAGGTGAGTTTTGAGCTGTTTTTTGAAGGAGTTTAGAGAGTCCGAGTTTCTGAGATGGAGGGGGAGGGAGTTCCAGAGAGTGGGAGCAGAGATGGCGAAAGCTCGGTCCCCCAAGGTTCGGTTATATATATATGAGAGAGAGAGAGAGAGAGAGAGAGAGAGAGAAAAAATCAAAAACTCAGATAATGCTAGTGCTGCGTATGAATGGTTTTGAGTAATGAATGAATTATTTTCTACATGTTAAAAAAGGTGTGGCTCTGTCTGTAAAGCTACGCAACTCTGACTTGTTGTATGGACATGCACGATCATGTTTTACTATGACGACAATATGAACAAAATGTGAGAAAAGGTTTGTGTGAATATGACCATGATGGCTTAACACTGGGGGCGACAGTAGCTCAGTTGGTAGAGCATTGGCCTTAAGGCCAGAAGGTTGTGGGTTCAATTCCCACCTCTACACCTTCTTCACCGACTCCCACTGATGACTGCTGTTGTTGTGTCCTTGGGCAAGACACTTAACCCCACTTTGCCCAAAAGCCCCCGCTGGAAGATCTCAGCTCCTGTGGACTCACCACCCGCAGAGGATCAGTGAGGGGCTGGTGCTATGAGATTTGGGTGGCATCTCTGATTGCCACCCCCCTGACCCAGAAATGGATTAAAGGGTAGAAAATGGATGGATGGATGGCTTAACACTGGCCTTACACTGGCAGGAAACTTCATAATTGAACTGAGGTGCAATACTGAACTCTTGGGGAACATTAGGTGACAAAACGTTGAAAACATTTTAAACATTGACCATGAACAATTTTAAAACACAATCAAGGATTTTGTGGTGAAATACTGCAAAAAGTGATAAAATGTTGTGGTTTTCAGTTAGTTTGTGAAATGTATCTGATGTAAATCTGTTTAAGCAGCCGGCTGCATAACTTCACGGCTCTGTACGTTTCATAACAAAAGCCACAGAAAGTGTGCAATTTCTGCAGAGCAAACGGGTGTGGGAAACCCTTCACACATTGAGGTTACATACAGTATATACCAAATTAGATACATATATACAAATTCTAGTATTTATTAAGAGTTTTATATCACTAGTTTGTGGACTGTTGTGTGTTGTATACTTGGAGTATCTGAAGACACAGATAGATCTGATAACACAGGTTGCCACATGCCACTTAGCCTACTGCTATTGTCTTGACCTGTTTCAAGTTATCATTGCCAAAGAGGAAAAGTACCGCAGCCTCTGTATTTGTACACTCAAGTTACAAAATGTTTTTCAATATAAGCATTAACCAAAAATATTGCAACACAACAGCTATTTGAATGGATTGCATTTTAGTAAAGTTACTGGCAAATGTTTTTACAGGTAAAAGGGGGTTTACAGTTTCTATCCATCTTTCTTCTCAACCCATTTATGACATGCACAGCGCTACAGGGAGATGAAATGTTGTTACATCTATTCGCTTGTCAGAAATGTCAGTATTTTTCTTCATTCTTAGTGCCCTGAAATGTGGCATGATGTTTGTGATGGGCAAGTAAAGATATGCCCATAGGAAACACATGTCGACTTACCTTTTCATCTTCCATGCGCTGCATCTTTCCAGTTCTGTGTAGCAACTTCAAAGGTTAAACTTAAGCACACGTCTCTCAAGAGCAGCAGAAAAACCTGAACAGAACAAATAGAAACATAGTGTGTACATAGTAAAACAGCCAATGTCTTTGAGAAGTGTTAATACAATTGTTATGACAAACCTACTGCTGGAAAGATGGAATGAAATGAAAGAGTTTGTAAACCCACCACATTCATCTCCACAGACTCCTCCCACAGCATCCACCTCTCATGAACCAGTGAGGTCAGCTATGCAAAATACATTATTATTGCCTGGTTTGATGCTTGTTATAATAATATGATTGTCAAACCAATTACAAAACAAGAAGGGGACAGAGAGGAAAAATTGAAAGAAATGGCAATTCACAGAAAGATACATGTTTTTGCTTGTAAACAAACGTTAGCAGGCTTGCGTACATCTTTACAGGAAAAGCGTAGTCATCTCTGTTTGGACAGAAGCACAAAAAGTGACATTGTGAGCTTTGCATATAATTTACCATACAGCAAAATTGTAAAGTTTTTTGTGTCCCTGGTCCGTGAAGTGTGCAATATAAATAAATAGGACTTACTTACTCATATAGACTTGCCTCCATGTAAATTCAATCATATAAAGAAAATTATATAATGCCTTAACACATTTTCCGTGGCTGGTAATGGAGTTTGAGGTTGTTTAAAATGAAATGTACTTTATTTTATTCAGACTCGACAAAGTACACAACAATCAGTTACAAAAAAGCATTGATTAATTTTTTTTCGCCTCGATTGTCAGAAAGATATATTTTTAACTAAACTTAAAAATATGTGAAATTGTTACAGATTAACTTCACACAACCTGCTGTTAATTCCAACATACATGGTTCTGCCTGGTGCCAACAGTGCCCCAAAGACTGATTAACCAATAATAATTATTGAATAAAATTGTATCCATTTTTCCAAAATAAATAATTTGTAGGGAGTAGGGCTGTAAAAAGTTAACCAAATAATTGCTACTTATAGTTGTCAACTACTTTAAAAATCGATTATTTTTTAACCTTACATAACATACTGAGAATAGGTTTTAGGACTCAGGTATTTCCATAATGACAGCAGAATGATGTCAAATATGTCCTCTCTGTGAAGACGTTCTCTTTTTTATTATCTATCTATTATTTTGTTTTATTATTTGTATTGTTATTATTATTATTATTTTGGATTAATTTTCTTCTTTATTTTCTGTTTTGATTGTTTTCTTATTTTTTTATTCTATGTAATCCTTTCTTTGCATCATAAATGTTGCCTTGTGAGGCAAAAACTCAAAAATAAAGTATAAAAAAATAAAATAAAGATGTTCTCTAGGGGAATGATTATCAGACAACTAATTGATTATCAGAAGAATTGTCGTATTATCAATGGAATACTGATTACTAAAATTATCTAGCTGCAGCTCTTGTTCTGAAAAATAACAGGTCAAAACCAGAGACTTCAAATACATGAATGCTACATTTCATATTGCATTCTCTGTGCCAGTGCAGTGATGCCAGGACAGGACTGATGTAGTGGCGATACTTTGTAAATAGGCTCTAAATTGAAGCAAACCCAGAGTTTCAGAAGAAAAGGTTCTACAGGCTAGTAGTTTGAAATCTAACCGATAGAACCAACAGGATCAGCCCCCCCAGAAGACACCTGTGCACTCTTACAGAACATGATACATTCTTCTCTTTCGCCGATGTCTGACGTGTGCTGTAGGGACTTGTCGCAGGTTTTGCACTTGTCGTTATAATAAAGGCCTGCAGTGTGGAACGTTTAAAGGCTGCTGACATAACCCCACGTGTAGCAGAGGGACAGGGGCAGTTGGAGCGGGACATGGTGGTGAAAGGGGGCTCTGTGCCTCTGTCCTGCCTGCTCTCGGAGGGGGCGCGAGCACAAAGCCTGGTCATGCAGAAATCATAAGACCAGCTCAGTGGGTGGCAAACAAACAGGGAGCCTTCCTAATTCTTCATCAACTAATCTTCACAGCCCACTTAAAACCTTCAGGAATTTTACAATTTCTTAGAAAGGAGATTGTTTTGGATATTATAAAGTTTACAGTAAAGTCAGTGTTTATTTCAGGCAAAGTATTGTCTACAAGATCATTTTGGGACCATGGAATTGCTGCATAGGGCTGGTGCTATGAGACTTGGGTGGCATCTCTGACTGCCACCCCCCTGACCCAGAAATGGATTAAAGGGTAGAAAATGGATGGATGGATGGAATTGCTGCAAATACTGTATCTCAAAACAGTATGGTTCTAGCACTATTTTTACATGGTTAAATGCTTTTTTTGCCCTTTGTCACACCTTAAGATAAGCTTTTCAAAACAGAAAAGTGAAAAAGAGAGATCCACCCATCCATTTTCATCCCTTTAATCTATTTCTGGGTCGGGGGGGTGGCCAGAGATGTCACCCAGTACACATAGCACCAGCCCCTCACTGATTCTCCTGCAGGTGGTGGGTCTACAGGAGGATGGCTACTCTATGGCATAGCCTTAGTTTTTCAGCGGGGGCTTCAGGCAAAGTGGTGACAGTAGACATCAGTTGGAGACGGTGGAGAAGGTGTCATGGTGGGCTCGTACCCAAGACCTTCAGGCTCAAATGCCAATGCTCTACCAACTGAGCCACTGTCGCTCCAAACCACCTTCACTCAGCCAATCTTTGACATGACTCTTTCTGTATAGGACAAACACATAGTATTATTTATGGGAAAAGAAAGTTAATTTACCCAGCTTAGTTTCACCAATATAGAGGTTAAAAATGTGGGTGTATTGAGCAGCACTGATATAATGTTTTAAAACTGCGTTATGATGTGGTCTTAAACTAGGGGTAAAGTAATTGCTGCTGTAAGGCTTTACCCGAAAGAAAAGGGAAAAGGTAGCAGGGTTGATATAAAGACTAAAGAGGTGTCTGCCTATTACCAGAATAAGTATGTTTTAAAACGACTGATCTCATGATGCTAACCCATCCTCAAACAAGCAATACAAAGTCACATTTCTGATCACAAATAAACAGAATAATTATACAAATATTTTTCTACACTGTAAAAATAATTACCATTTCACAATGCGGTAATTGCCTTATGAAAAAGGGGATTATCTCAAAACAATGACGCCTGTTCAAAACTTCTTTAAATATGTTATTTTGTAATCAAGACTCGTGTCACAGGAAGAGACTCATGCGCACAAATGTTTACAGGAAAAAGATAACCCTGACGTTGCCAGATATGAGCCAACCACACGTCAAAAGCCTGAACACTCTGCACTTGAGAATACATTGGATACTTATGTTGTATTTTCCAAAACTTCTTTTTTGTGTGGATAAAACAGGTGAAAATGTTAGCGATATTTTAGGAAGACCCAATCTGTTCATTATCCTCTAAAGATTAAACATTACTGAATATAGGCTTGAAAACTTCATTCTTTACATTCGTACTCCATTCCACAGAAACTACAGGGTTTCTGTTACTGGGATTGTGTAAGGGGCTGATCATAGATCCATGGCTTTGGGAAAATGACCTAAATGTACTCTTCCAAGTTATATTTGCGGTAATACGAAAGCACTACACTGCCCTCATGTGGTTAGAACTTGTATGGGATGTACCGAGTGGCCCTTACGAGTTGTAACCACAGGGTAACTTACTTAAGACGAAGTCATAGATACAAGCACCTTGTTGAAACAAAGTAGTAGCTAAATATTATACATATTACTTCGAGTGCGAGTATGTGTAATTTTTAAAGGACCGCTACAGGATTGATACATTGCTGTTTAGCGCAAAATTACACCCCCATGTGGCGCATTTACGCAATACGAGTTGCACCAGATGTGGCTCTCCATATTTATAAACACACAATTTAATTGTTCATAAACCATTAAGAAAAACAACATTTAAGTCTCAACTTTTATTTGTCAAAAAAAAAAAAGACCATTTATTGAATATTGAAATATTTTAGTGAACAATAAATTTAAATGGACTTGAGAAACATCTTGTTTTTGACAAGAAAAGTTGTGCGTGGTTGGACTTAAGGTAACAGAACGATATCATTGTTATGATGAAAGATGTCCCGAGGCACAAATACAGAGGTTTGGGTGCAGATCACATAATATTAAAATGGACAGTTAAGGTCAACCGCTGTCTGCAGTTAAACTCTTCCAGCAAAACTGCCGCCCTCGATACCTTCATCCCAGTTATTCACCTAAGAAGAAAAATACAAGATTAAAAACAAGTTCTGGAGGTTTAATGCCAGTTAATAGTCTGCCCTTTAACTGTTAAAAGACATGTTTAAAAAGAGTTTTCAGAATTATGACACAGCTGTACCATTTATTTGTACATGGACAAATAATGGTAAATATCTATAAGTGCCTAGAAACAAATAAACCCTTACATGACAACATTGTTGCGCTACACCAGGCCTATTTCCTCTCATCAGAATTATTTGGCCCACTAACCATATATTCCAAAAATTAATATGTTTTGTTTCATTGAGTGCAAATCAATCTATTATCACAGTGGTGTACACAATGTAACAATGCAAGATAGTAATGATAGCAGCTATAATGTTAATAGCTTATACATGTCTTATAATTGATGATTAGCTTTTCTGTTTTTACATTTGAGGTTCACAGTGAACTTTAAACGAAAGTGCAATTCAGTCTTGTCTTTGATTCTAAAAATATTATAGTATCGGATATTTCAGATGACGTATCAACATAAACGAATATTGGAGATTATTAGTGTTTTTCTCAGCACATATTCTGAAAACGTACCCATACTGAGGGGCAGATGCTCTTGTACACCCTCTGGTACCAGTCACAGGGAGATGTGTCCTGGTCCTTTTCTGACAGGGCCTTGTTGCACCTATGAAAGTCTGCAGCAGGGAAACAAACCAGATTACTACAACATGCTTTAAACTGAACCTATCAACATGTACATCATGGTTACTCACCAAGGTAGTTTTGGAAACAGTTACGGGTCTGGTTCGTGTTGGGGAACCTCGAGTCAAACGGGGCGGTTCTGTAGTTCTTGATCTTTGATTCAATAGCATCGGCCATGATGGAGCTGTGAAGATTTGGATCTGGGGGAAAAAAACCAAACAAGATCACCAAGTTAGCTTTGCAACTAGCAACATTAGCTGATAACATTCAAAGACGTCTGTGTTACGACACACACAACAGCTGGAGCACAAAACCCACACATGGATCCTGGTAACAGTGAAGTGAGATTACAACAAAACGACTCAGTTATAACAAATGCGGCTCTGATTTACACACGCGTTGCATCAAACTATTAGCATAGCTTTAGCTCAATGCTAAAGTGACATGTAAACAGGGCTGGATGCGCTGAAAGAAGTAGCTACATACCGCTAGTCACTGAATCCAGTACGACATTTGCTTCATAACGTTGATAACATAGAGTTTGGTAATATGAACTCAATAAAAAGGCATTTACTTACATCTAAATGAGATCCGATCGCGTTGCTTTGCCCTCTGATGTCCTTACTGCGAGTCGCAATGGTGGTCCGGAAATGACGTCACAGATACAGTTGTGCTTACAGTTACTGTAAGCACGGATTTATACAAATATTATAAATTATAACAGGAAATTATTGATTTCTATAGAAACTGTTTTCTATAGAAATCAATAAACACCTACTAAATAGCCAACTGTAAATAAAACAGTGTAAATTGTTTCAACCCTAACCCTAAATGAACATTGTCATACACAAAACTAAGACATTTGTTAATTCCATTTTTCCTTGGCACATTTTTATTGTTTAAACATGTGGACCTCAACAAGTGTCTGAACCTATACAAACTGGGCTAACCTTGATGTTAAAGTAGAAATGCCTGTAGAATGGTAAAAAAACAAAAAAGTATTGTTTTTTTCTCTTTCGGTCAGGACACAGGCTTTACCGGAGCCTGACGTACCAAACGCAGCAATGTGGTTTGCCCTGGACTTATTCCCTGATGTTGGACACAGGAGGTCCTTTCTCTGCATCTTCCTGTTGAGGACAATGTCAAAGATCACAGGTGTCTGGAGCTTCCTGCCTCTTGGTACACTTCCTTTTTTGTCTTTCCTGAAAAAAAAAACACTTTTTGGACTTGAAGATGCCTTATGACTATAATTTTTTTCTTCCACCTGCTTGTCTCAATAGATATGTTTTTACTGGGACCTGATTCTGAATTCTCCCCAGCATGTCATTGTGCTTATTAAGCTTCATTTTTTTTGTATATGCCAAGCTATAAATATGTAGCGAGGCAAATCCACTCAAAATAAACCTGCGTGTCGTACCTCTATTTGATTATAAGTATAAACAACAGGTTTAATGCTACACAGTGACAGACCAAAGTATTACCATCTTTATATAGTGTAACTTCTTATTGTTGATGTAATTTGTCGGGTGAATAAATTTTTCTTTAATCTAAACAGCACTGGCTGCATGGATAATGATGCAATTCCAAAATCAGTTCAGAGTGAGCAACAGATAAAAAAAGTCTGAATTATACAATAGTTTAGCATAATAATTTAAGTATATCAATCACATTTGAGCTTGTGTGTCCCCACTTAAAATAGTTTAAAACCTGTTAATTTGACATTAAATAGTGTATCCCTCTCTCTCTATTGCAGTCAGGATATAGGTGTTGTCCACTACAAAGGAAGGAAATTCTGTCATTTAGAACAATGGGCCTGTTTCTCTATCTATAGACCAGAGAAACCAGGGAAAGAGGGAGTAGTTCTCATTCAGTTACAGAGAATTCGGTTTTATTAAAGCGGGAAGCGACTGAAAATGGACTGTAACTTCAGAAAACAAGAGATGTGCGATATACAGGGATTAATGTAAACATACTTGGACTTTGTCTGGTTAAGAAGAATTTCATAAGACCATACAGGCCATAAGAAACGACTGGGTAAGTTATAATCCCGCTCAAACATGTATTGTTTAGCTCTCTCTCTCACACATTTCAATATCTCTATTACTTATTTCTCTTCAGTATCAATCTTACTTCTTACTTATACTTATCTTTCTCTGAGAAAACTACTGTTGTGATTTAGGGCTATACAAGAATTAATTTAATTGAATTGAACATATTAGAACTTGGTGTAATATAGGGGGAGTGCGAGTAAATGTTATTATTAAGTGGTACAAAACACAGTCAGTGCAAGTACAAAAGTATATGTTTCTGAGAAGAGAGGACTTGTCCCTGCGATGTCAGGGGTATTTCCGTTCGATACAACAGCTGGACTCGAGGCTTCCTGTTTGAAAACTTGCAGCACAAAGAATATACTTTTAGGGTTAGGATACTGTCTGTTTGCTTCAATATTGTTTTTTCCTGTTGATTTTATGAATTCAATCTATTGTTATATTATTCTCATGAAATTGGTGTGCTGAAGAAGGGAATGGAAAATTAGAAGAGTAAATCATGCGTAAATCAGTGTATCATAAAACAATACAAAAGAAAAAAGAATCAAAGCAAAATAAGGTCTGCTGTTGTCATGACTCCATCAAGAGACATTGAATTTCTTGGAAAAAACATGTAGTCTTTTCAGAAAGTGAAAGTCATATACCGTATTACATAGATTCAATGCACATTGAGCCAAATATTCTTCTGTCTACACAAGCAACACAAACTAGTCAGAATAATGCAATACTGTGGAACAAAGAGAAGATACACTTAGATACTAGCAGATCCACCACTAGGAGGTTACATTGTGCAAACTTGGTGGTTGAATAAAATAGATTAAACAAAAACACATGCAGTGTATGTGTGCCAAATTTGGATATCAAATACATAGGTTACAACAACAACAAAATACAAAAAGAGAATATTTGAATAACCATGAAAAAACTATATATTTTTCCCTGCACTTTTGTGGTCACTTGTACAGTTCTTTCACGAACAACTGAAACATAGAATGCAACACATGTTGGTATGGGGGTGACATTATAATTGGCTTAATATTGTTTTTGGCAAACACCAAAAATATACAAATCCTTTTTCCAGTTATCACCCAACTCACATATACATTGTTTTTGTTAGGTTATATCTATGAATTATATTTATTGGATTAAAGTACAATATTTCCCATTAATTTCATGGTTTCATTTAATTGTTATATTGTTGTCCAATGCAAAGTTTTGTCAATTTAGTTTTTGTGTTTTTTTTTTTTTCTCAGATGGAGGAGTCCAGCAGTCCTCGGGCCAGGAAGCTGCATTTCCCAGTCGGTTTGTGGATCAACTCTCCCCGAAAACACTTTGCCAAGTTAGGACGCCGTTGGCCCAGTGCTGTCTCCGTCAGGTGAGTCTTTTTTAAGGTAAAGACTTACAACATGGCCCAAAATAGAGAACTACATTTAGGGTTTGTAACTTGTTCAATAGAGTGTCTCCATGAGTAAATGTTATAACTTGAAGGTTAAACTTAAATGTTCATAAGTTCATATAATTGGTGTTAGACATATCAACTCTCGTCCAGTAGTTGTACTCAAATCTGAAACAGTAGTATGCCGTATTCTGTTAATAACAAGCTTTGTATATTCTCTGTGTGTTTTGCCTTTGTGTGTAAAGGTAAAATCCATAGTTTTTTTATTTGACCGGAATCATGAACTGTGATAAATAGACTGACTGTGATTGCTTCAGGGAATATGTACAGATGTGGTTGTGGGTTTGTTTATGATCTGGTTCGGGCTTTATTCATGTTTAGCTTATAATTTTGGACCTACAACATCAGCACTTTTAGTCCTGATAGTATCTTTTTAGTTATGATGGTCATTTATTTCTAGTCAGCACTTACAGCTACAAAATGGACGGTGTAAGTCTGTATCCTCCGGCTGCCTTTGCCGGAGGATACAGTGACGTCATTACTTCCACTGGCGCAGTTCCTCAAAACCCTGCGTTATTTTAGACTTTGTTGTCCACTCTGTTTGGACGACCATAACTCACTGATGACCACTCTCTTCCTCAGGTCGACCACCAGCTCTGACGCGACCTCCCTTCACGAAGTCCCCTCGGCCCCCTCTTCTTCCCTGTCCACTTCCACACCCTCCCTGGCTTCCCCCGCCCCGTCACCCTCTCCATCCCCCGCCTTCCTCCGACCTCGGCCCGTGGCTCCACAGTCACGTGCAAAGCGCCTTTCCCACCTTTTCCTGCGGGGGCGCTCTAACAGTGATCGGGACAAAGCGGTGGGTGAGAGGGACAGGGAGGTGTGGGCGCACTCAGCCGCCCCCTCGTCACATCACTATCTGCCCCCCGGAGCGTCTTCTGCCCCCGGCCTGATCAAGATCTATGGAGATGCTCTGTCCAGCGGGGCCAACTACCGCTCTCTACTGGCCAGCGTGCACTCTACAGCCCGACAGCTCATCTGTCAGGTCATCACCCGCTACACAGAGCGAGAGAGGGAGGAGACTGACGACACAGGTAACAATATATTATTAAAAGCAGATAGAGTTGGAGATGATTTTAGTTCCATCCGCATTCATATTAAGTACTTCCTTTATTCCTTTATTACATCAAGGGCAGAACCGTTTTCGGCCTTTTAGAATGAAAGTATTCCCTCAAAATTAGTCAAGAATTTCACCAGTAAAAAGACATTATTTACTATGTGCCATCATTTGTGACACACAATGTTTATTGTTGACAAAAAGTCAAATGCATTTTTTTTTTTTTTTCACTTCTACCGCCTGATGTAGGTGTTTTATTGGTGATAAACTTAATCTATGCATATTTTTTCCATAAAGGTTTTATTTCAGATTCTAAAATGCAAACTCTAAAGTAAAAGTCTCAAGATCTTGTTTGAGGGTTAAAGTCATCATATTTCTTACTTCTGTTCTGTCTTTGGCACATCATTAATTTTCAGATGATTAGTGGATTACTCCTGCATCAACCAATCAGCTCTCAGCTCAAAGTACCTGGCAGCTTTGCATCAACTATAGTTGCATGTGTATTTCATTAGATTAAGAAAATATGTAGCAAACTATTTTTCACTACATATTTACACTTTCTGGAAGGATTTTTTAAATGATCAAGTTAGAGCGTTTCCATAGCATAAAAACGAAAGTCATATGACAAAAGAGTTGTGGTGTCAATAGTAGTGAATTATGCTTACTGATACATTTATTGTGTGAGCTTTTCTACAATAAAATCAGTATCATCTTAATGTGTTCAAGACTGTTATGTACTTGTTTTGTCCTGTTTTGTTGTAGTTCTTCAGAAATACAGCCCAGAGGACTTCCTGTTGTGTGATGTCATTGGAAAGCCCATCCAGCAGCCAGATGGAGCGATCAAGTGGGAGACGGAGTGCCGGAGAAGTGTGGCCCCGTGGGAATGTCCCCTGATGTTAGTGGACATGTGGAGACCTAAAGACGGGTTTGAGCGCCGCTTCGAAATCCACCGAAGAGACGAGTATGAGCGAGAAGAAAGAGAGCGGGAGAGAGAGCGGGAGAGGGATGGAGAGAACTGTCAGGGTGTGTTCATGTGAAAACATATTGATTATGGCTGCAGGATTTGTACCATGCACAATTTCAAACACATCCAAGAGAATAGTCGGAAAATTTAACTGCAGGAATCCCACGCCTTCAGGAGTTGACCACCACAAATTGCTGGAAAAAGAGGAATAAGTTGTTGAATGTGGTGGGACCTGGGGTGATGGAAAGCTAATCACTCCTTATAATTTTCTTAGGAATAGCAGCCATGAAAGCCAGTTGAATAATACGTACGGTAAAGAAGGCTGAAGTTCCAATGCAGGAGAAGTTTATTCATATTAGAACTTGTGATATAGTCCATTCCTTTCTCCCCAGATCTGCTCAGTCCATCAAAGTGTCCTGTTATGATATTATACTTCTCAATAATTGTGCCTCAAAATAATTTTTATGGTGATATGTCTTTACATTTTTTTACACTGTTTGTATCAACATCCAAAAGGCTTTACTTTTTTAGCATATAGTACATGATTACAAACAAAAAGATACAATTCATGTGACTTTGATGGAATTTGCGACCTTCTTTTAAGACCAAAAGAAGTCCAAAATATGTAGTCTTGTCCCAACACTAGGTATAAAAAGTGTCCAGCCCTATTGAAACGTATCTAAGCGTAAAATGACCTGGTTCCCCTTTTGTTTTAGGCGTGCGCTGGCGCCGCAGTAGGATGGCTTCAGGAGGGGGTCCAGAGGAAGAGCGAGGTCACAGAAACCGAAACTCAGAGCTGCGGAGGAGCATCAGTGACATGAACCTGAGTCTGCGCCGTCGCCAGGGTAACCACGTCAGCAACGAGCAGCGCGGCACCAACAACCGCAACAACCACAGTGTGGATGACAGGAAGAATATAGTGAGCATGATCAGCCCACAGCCAGGAGAGGTGAGAAACTTTTCCCTGGAATATACCTTGAGAAATATGTTTTAAGATTTTAAAAACCTCTTAAATTGAGGTGTCCACCTGCACAGAAAAGAAAATGTCCTTTTTCATTATGGCCCAACATTGAATAGGTATTATCTGCATAATGCTGCCTTGATCATTGTCTTTAAATAAAATTAAACAAATATTCAATGATACTATGCTGGTGGAGTGGGCAGCACTTCACCAGCGTGCTGCCCACTCCACACAGAATTTTCCAAATACTAGTTAAAACTCCCTGTGTTTCACTGCCACACAGTAACCAATTCTTTATTATAACAGTGTCACAATAGAGATGCATTTAACGATGAGTATATTTGTAACTTTTCAGGTCAGAATCAGGCCTGAAGCCAAAGTTGGATGGACTCATCAGACTGCAGAAGAAGAGAAGGACTATTCCACCTGTGACCTGGAAGTGATGTCACAGAGTCTGATCCTTCCTCCAACTGACCGGCCATACTTCCTGTTATTACAGGGCTACGACCACAGTAAGGTAACAGCTTGTTATCAGTTAAAAGTTGATCAACCGGGTCGCAGATTAAAACCAGCGATGATCTTTTAATGTTCCTCCACACCGAAAAAATCTGGGGGAAAGATTGACCTATGTGCCAAACATATCCTTGCACATACAGTAGCATTTATGTCTAACAGTCAATTTGTCTGAGCAGATTTGAGTGTAGGTCCACACACCCAAATGACATCAGACCTGCATGTCTGTAATCGCAGCATACCATCAGTGTTTCCATCCCTGTGCTGACCTCTCCCATTCTGCATCCCGCATAAACATCGTCATAGCGACATAAAGCCTCGGTAGCCTGCCTCTACAAAACAGCAGTGTCTCTGTGTGTTCCTCTCTCTATGACTTCACATAAGTCTATTGTTGCAAGCTGTGGCACACTTCAGACCGCATCATCTTCAGATGAAAGATTCATGTAAACCATAACACTTTTCCCAAGATAACAGACCTCCCTGTCTTCCGCAGGACTTTGTTTTGTACATCATGACGGGTCACATGCATGTGTTTGGGAGAAAGCCAACGTTGAAGGAGAGAGAAAAGGACAGAGAGAGGGAGAAGAAAGGGAAGAGGCCTCTGAAGGTGGAAACGTTTCTTTCAGCTCCTGATCTTCTGGCCCGACACTTGTTGATACGCAGAGACTCTGCTGTCCCTGAATCCCCCTCTGGACAAGGTAAACTGCAGCAGAATGCTGAGAAACAATAAAACATGAGGCTCATGTTGTCCTGTTCCTCTCAGCTCTGATGAGGCCCTTCAGAGGAGGGGCGGTCACGCACAACGGGGTGTGTGTGTACAGAGAGACTGTCCTTAAGCCTGGAGATGTCATTGGTCTTGGGGACCACTTCCTCTTCTTGTACCGAGACCCTCGTGTGTCCCCTGCTCCTCCCCTGGCTCTGACCCTGCCTTGGCAGACTGATGTGTCCAGCACCTGCTGTCCTTCAGGGCTGGTGGACAGACAGGAGGCCCTGAGGCAGTACCTTGGCTCCAATGAGGCCATTTTAAAGTTCCATCCACGTCATGCAGATACTTTGTTACAAGTAACAATTACATTATCGTACCCTCCTTTTGTTGGAGAACAACTTCAAAATGTGATTTTTCTATTTCAGGAAATAATCTCCAAAAATTCTTCTCCAGACTCTGGGGGCGGGCCTTTGGCTCCGGCATATCTGCTGTCAATCATGATTGATCATGCTTCAAAACACCTCGACCCTGCCCTTACACCACAAATACTTCTGAAAGCAGCTAATCTTATTAAAGAAATTGTGTGGGTAAGGTCACACTGAGCATACAGTGATCTGAGTTATATATGAGGGTAATTTAACACAGATACAGCCAGGAAAACAAGCAGTTGTGTGTGCTCCACTGTGGCCCAGTGCTGTCCCAGTGGTTCCCAAGTCCCTTCACTTGGAGAAGCCTCCAGTTGAAGGATACCTTGAGAGATACTGCACTGCAGCTCTTCTCTTTGGCCAAGTGTACACAGCAGCAGTTGTGGCCCGCTGTGCACTGTGGTGCAGTCAGGCAGCAGTGGGGATGAGTTGATGTCACTTCCTCGGTGCTGGAAAATGTGCTGTAATTGTCCTGGCTGCAGGGCGAGACTCTGCTCCCCTCCGCCTCCACAAACCTCTCTTCTGTGTCCAACTCTCTTCACAGGATAACATCAAGGAATTTGGGGATAAGCATCCCACGCAAAAGTAAGACACATTTTGTGTTCACTATTTATGTAATAAACAAAATACACAATCATAAAGCCCAAGAAATGCGCATTAAAAGCAATGCAACATTTTAAAAAGTAGATTTTTACCTGTCAGATGAAATCCAATGACAAGAAAAAAAAAAACAATGTAGATGAAACTTTACAGCACTAAATCTGAACTATGTTTCCTCAGTTCTTCGGAGCAGGACGGTGAGCTCAGCCTGCCCAGTGTCCAGGCCCTCTCCTCAGACCTGCGGCCGCTGATGTTCTGGATGTCCAATGCCACGGAACTCCTCAACTTCTTCCAGGTCAAAGTGGAAACGATGGACAAGGAGTGGGAGTTTGAAGGTAGGACTCAGCAGCACTCAATAGAGCACAGTGAAACTGAATAAATCACATTTATTACAATACCTAGTTTAGGCATGAATATTGTATGTCAGCATTATGAGCACACTCCATGCATAAAATAAATTTGTCAATTAAGAGACAGATAAAGTACAGATATAACTAGTGATAATATAAAATATACAGTACATACAAATAAATAAATATGAATGAAAAATAAATAAAAAAACTAAAATAAATCAAAGAAATAAAAAATAGTTTGTGTTTTATACATAGACTGTATATATTAACAGACAGAGCCACACCTATCTCCACCGTTCTAACTAATGGGCCAAAAATGTGCTCTACTGGAGCTATCCAAAATGGCCGCGAGTGGTCCCGCGCATGCGTCAGCTGGCGATAGCTCCATTCATTTGAACGAGAGACTTCAAAAATTCACAGCAAGTAAACTAGAGTGGTCCAAAAAAATCCACCCCCCTCAGCATTGACACACATGTGGAACGGAGCTTTGGGCCAAGTGCCAACTTTTGGACCATCCTGTAAAGACGTTTTTGAGAGGTTTGCCAATGCTAAAAGTTAGCATTGGCTAATTCTTCTTCTGGGTCCACCCCCATCGGCCCGGGGTGGTATTGCAAGCATGTCAGCGCACATGTCCTCTGCCTAATCCTTTTGAGCTCTTATAATAATTGTGTATTTTTTCTTGTAAACCATACAAGCTTGAATGAAAGAAGTAACCTTTGCGTCAATAAATGACTACTGGAACAGAAGACATAACAATCATCTCTCTACTCTTATATAATGCTCAATAGTTGGAGTTGTTTCAAAATAATATGAAAAACTGCTGACTGACTAAAAGATGTACACCTTTCCCTTGTAATCTCTGTAAGGCACAACTACAGCAACATAAAAATTAGAGCATGCATCTGGTCTGTAATCTGTGCTAATGGTGCCTCTCCGCAGCCCCGGGGGACCCTGTTTTGACGGCTGACATGGACACCTGCTCTGAGGCTCTGGCACAGCTGGATGATGTCATTATGCACACCTTTCAGCAATGTGTGTATCATCTCACTAAGGTGAAGACACTCCTGAAATAGAAACTCTGGGAGGGCCGTGTTAAATGTGGCTTGAATTCTGAATGTTTGTCTTGTGTTGTGCCGCTTTGAGTCATTTGGATGCATTTAGGCAGACGGCTTGACAAAAAACCTGATACCCAGATGTTAACCAACAACAGTAAAACTAGTATTTAAATGAGAGACTCATTTAAACAGGTATCGATATGGTGAGATGGTTGGTGGTGGTCGGAGGTGCCGATGGCACATACTGGTTGCATCGCTTCTTTCAGTGTGCCCCAGGGCAGCTGTGGCTACAGTAGTCGTTAAACACTACAATGTATGGAGTGAATGAATAATGACATGTGCAGCATCTTTGAGTGCCCAAAAAAGCGCTGTATAAAACAAATGCATTATTATCATAACCCGTCTATTAAAGGAATCACATCTAATTTGCTTTTAAAATTAGATGTGATTCCATCCAAACCGTTATTGTAGGGCTGTATTTTGGCCAAATATTGTCACAGGCTTTGCATTTATGAAGGACGAAAGTATGAACCGATCTGCGGTACAACACAATCCCATGTGCTTTAAAACTGGTTTAGAATCGTGCAGGGTTCATTTCACTTTAATAATCAAAACCAAGTGTACAAAGTTGTATATTTAATTGCGATGGAATTTGCCATGGAGCTGCGTAAATGCACGTGTCTGACCTTTTGTTAGGTTTAAATAATACATATATAAATTAAATAAATTGATAATAAAAAAGTGCATGTATAAACAGGTTTACATTTTTATTCAAGGGTATTTTTTTCTGTCTTTTCTTGTGTGATTAAACTGGAGTATGGATCAGAAAATGCTTGGGTTATTCAGTGTGACTCGGGACTTTACTAACAAAATATTTCACTCTTTGCAATGTACTAATTGTGCAACGATAATGATGAACTGTGAGCTGCTTCTTTTTGAATCCAGACCCTTTAATTGAGTGAAACAAATCATCAATGAATCTTTTGGCTCCTAGAAAAAATATAATTTGCGAGTTTCTTCTCACAACAGTTTTTACAGTGACCTAATGTGGGATAGAACTGCAAAGGACAAACTGAAGAAAACAGATTTTTGCAAACATTTTTGAATAAATAATTGTGTTTTGACCCCAGACGCTGTACTCTTTGCTGCCTGCGCTCCTGGATACAAACCCATTCTCTAGCAACGAAAAAGACAAAGAGAAAGACGCTTGTGCGGAGGGAGAGGACAAGAGGGACGTGGACGATGTTTCGGCCTTACCTCTGCGTGTGGCCGGGCTGGTGGAGGTGTACCGCTGCTCTCTCATGCTCTCCAAAGAAGCCTGCCTCTCACCTCCACTCACCTCGCAAACCTTTGGCTACCTCTTCTTCTTCACCAACACCTCACTGCTCAACACGCTGCTAGAAAGAGGTGAGAAAACATAAAAAAAAACTGTATAATATGTAAAATGTAAAGCTATTATTGAAAAATACTAATTTGTGTCTATGTAAGAGCCATTTATTAGATTCATTTTTACCAAAATCTAGTTTGAATTTTACTGACAACAAAACATGCCAACAATAGCAATATAGCAATAGCAACTGTAAAACTAATTGTCATTGTATATTTGTATCTGTCTACTTTGGTCACTTAAACTTCACCCATTCCTAATCTTGTGACATCTCTTCTCACCAACAGACGGCCTGTTCTCCTGGTCTCGGGCTGTTCAAATCCGTACAAACTTGGATCTGGTGCTGGACTGGCTCCAGGGAGCAGGATTAGGAGATATTGCCTCAGAGTTCATGAAAAAACTGTCTGTCATAGTTAACTTCCTGTGCATTCCCAAGACCAGACTCATCCAGGTCAGCGCACTGTCTACACACCATACATACAAAAGATTAGTGGGAAAAAAAATATTTCATATCAGACTTTTTGTGTGGTGATGAATCATTAACTGAGACATCTTTACTTGTGTCTAGACCAGACATGGGCAAACTGCAGGCTGAGGGCTGGGGGCTGAGGCCTGAGGCCTGAGGGCTCAGGGCTGAGGGCTGAGTGTTGAGGGCTGGGGCCACATACGGCCCAGTTCACATTTCTATGCAGCCCCTGGACTCTTCCCAGAAGAAATGAGAATATCAAAACCCATATTCAACAAATTTAGTATTTTTCTCAAATGACCATAATAATGGAAAGAAAAAACAGCTACAGATTCTAAATATGAGCTCTAAACAAACTTTACACAGACTCAAACAAAACATTACATGTTTTGGCTCCATGTTTACCACTACCTCTTTTTTCTAAATATTTCACATAACTGAAGAAGCTTCAGCTTGCTATGAACAATGAAATATGTTTTGTCAAACGGATCTGGCCCTCCACAATATGCAGATATCCCAATGTGGTCCCTAGGAGAAAATAATTGCCCTCCCCTGGTCTAGACACTTCTATTTAGGAGTTTCAGGAAAAGGATTTGTTCCCTTTTTGAAAGACCCTGTGGGACCTTTCCCCATTCAAACATTATTATACTTTGATTTGATTTGCAAAGCTGCTATTTTTCTACATCACCCATCAGAAATGATAAATCATACCATTTAAATAATGTAACGTAATCTCTACAAAACTACACTTCACAGTGTTGATAAGTCATGATGTCTTCTCTAGTCGTCCTGGGGCAGTTTGCAGGAGGATCACGGCTTGTTGAGCCCAGCGCAGCTCCATCACCTCCTCACTCACTACAAACTGGGTCCTACTCGAGCTCCTCCATCCTCCTGGAACCCTCCTCCAGGCACCGATCTGAGCGGAGGTAACAACATCCAGCTATCAACACTATGATATTGATACTATGTTCTTGTTTTGGGTACTATCAGGATGATTGGTAGGATCGAATCTTCAAAAACAGGTCAGCCCACGGCCGTATATACGTATGGCTGTATATACGTATGGCTGTATAAACTTCCACATTTTGGCTTAATAGTTTCGCCCATCTTGCAGCCCGCTCTTTTGGTTTCGGATGTGATTGAAGGCACAATGGAAACGAGTAGCTGTGTGGTAACTACTAACCATATCATACCCTAGCCATAACTATTTTTGGGCAAATTAATACCACTGTGAGGTCACCACGTACATGTTGAACAGGCTGGTTGGAAATTGGATCCAGCTAGTTTATGTTCTTAAGATTAACACTATGGTGACATCAGCACTCGGTCAGTAAGGCGCACTTACAGCAACATTATTCCACTGGCCTCCAATTTAACTTATTATTCGATTATTATTTTTTGACATATAAACAACATAGATCTGATCACCACTTCTCAACAGATGTGTATTGCTAATCGATGACAAATCCCAACTTCTACATCACTCGAAGTCTATTGATTCATGGTTTGGACTCAGATCAAACAAGTATCTTCTCCAACTGTCGTCATTGTGTCTGTTTTCTCTCACACAGACATCTTTGAGAGCTTCCTGGACCACCCTCCATTAATCCTCCCAAACGAGACTCCGCGACTGGACCTGTCCCTACCGATCCCCAGCCCTGAGCTCCAGAAGGAAGTGACCCGTCTGCGCACCTTCTTGTGGGGACTTGACCAAGACGAGCTTCCAGCCAATCAGAGAACCAGGCTCTGAGCAACGCCAAAAGACTCACACCAGACTGAGACTACTGCATGCAGGTAGTACTTAGTTAACAGGCTGCGTTCACATAGATGTAAGAGTGATGATGTAGGGCAAGGGCAGTTTTCCAATTTAGGATTTTCAAAATAGCATGAATTAGAACAATGTAATGTGTGATGAATTATACTAGCAGTTCAAGATGGCGTATTGTGCTTCTTGCTGCTGTTTAGTGATGACCTATGGCACCTATACCTTTACATTTGACATCTTTATATTGATTTAAAACTGAAATTTAAATAGATTCAATTTAAGAAAAGCAACGGGCTATTTGTAATGTAGATTTCATTTGTTGCAGTTGAATCTTGATTTAGATTCTTTATTTGCATTCAAGATACTACTAATACCACAACAACTTGTGTCTTAAGAGAGATTTGTGTTTGTTTGTGAGAACTTAAAGCTGGGCTACCTAAGTCTCCAACCACAAATAATGGAACTACTGTATGTCAAAACCGTTTGGTTCCATCGCTAGTTTTCACATGCATCTATAGCTCTTTCAGACTTAAAAGGGAAAAAGAGCCAATTAAATCACAGCTCAAAGTGTTAAATTGTATTTTTACAAGATGAAGACAACAGCATGTTCTGTTCTAATTTGTTTACTACATTTTACTTTTACATGATTCTTTACGTTGGGACAAACAACATGGATTTCACATGGAATATAAAGTTAGCTATCCCAGAAGCACTATCTGAGAATCTTTTACCAAAGTGTTTCCCGACCAGGAGTTCTTTGTCATAAATGTAAATCTATTACAAACAGTATAATTTTGGATATTGATATGATTTAAATAATAAAATGTGATTCGAGCATATGTGCCATTCGTTTGCCTTTTGTGCTCAGGTTTGGTGGTGCATAGGCTGTGAGACTTAAATCTAAGGGGTGCAATAAAAACTGTAAATCACTTATTGTTTTTGGGTTGATTACAGCCCTTTTCCAAATTCTAATGTAGTGTGTCCAAGCGAGTGGATTTTCCAGATGGGATGTTTCCATTAAATATAGATAAGAGTCGTTACAACCCCCGCCCTCCTGAGACTATTGTCAAACTGTGGTGAATGTGAACGCTGCCTGTGGGACTGTGAAGTAGTGACGTCAGGACAGTTTTCCGAGATCAGTGGAATTCCAACACCAGTCACTGCAATGACAATGTATTCAAAAATGTGTGACTGCACTTTTCACACACTCTGTCTACATTTCGATAGACGCATTTACTGCAAGAAACATTGTGAAACATTCCAGAAAGAAGAAAGTACATCTTCATGAAACCTGAAAAACTATTTAAACACTGATTTATATCGAGGATGTATAAGACCGACATCGGTATTGGGCTGGACTGGATCAGCGCATCCTAATTTAAAGGGGTTGCATGTAAAATTTAAATTACATCCACATCTCCTCAGATGATGTCCAAATCATGTGCGAATCCTCTTTCCTCTTTTCTGAACAAAGTTTAAAGTAGAGTTATTATGAATAAAAAATTCAATATTTATGTTTACAATTTTCAAGCAGATTATCCAATCAGAGAGCAGAATAATGAGCTTCACTTGGGTTGCCAGTTTGTCAGTTGAAATTTAGATGGTCTTGGCTAGTTTTTCTTTAAAACAACAAAATCCACCTGCAAAAGAATGGCACCACTCATAAATTCAAGCAGATACACATATAAACAGTCATATACAACGTTTATATTCTTTCTGGCTAAACCCCAGCAGGTGGATTGCATCAGCAATCTGGAAGCATCATGTCTGTCACAGGCAGGAAGATTCTGGCAACAAAAGTGTGATTGTAATTGTAATGACTTTATTAGACCACTTAGAGTACATACTACATACTGTCCTTTTGATGAATCATTCATTTTAATATAATATACAATTTTACTGATGGCACTAACTTGAACCAGCAATGTCACACTTTACAGTACATCGATGTAGACTTAATAAATAGTATTTGATGTTTTGCATATCATTTCATTTATAGTAAGTACAATGAAGTATACAGTGTCTGGTATTTCTCCCAGATATTACTTGAGTGAAACCAGTGTGTTTGTCTATGTTGTGTAATGCTTTACGGGCCTGTTTGACTTGGCTTCTGTGCTTGGTTTTAACAGCTTGTTTTTAATAAAGTTTCAATGTAAAAGACCCAGAGTTTCCGTGTAATGTTTGACGAGTCTATTTCCCACAGACGGGCCCCTGGGGTTTGGCACTGGCCTCATTACGATCACTAAAGGTCCACTTGGGGGCAGTGCAGCTCCCATTCCTCTCTGATGGTAAATTATGAGTGTACAGGTAAGGAGAATTATTTAGCGGGGCAATCACACCAGAACACTGTCATCTGCTCCTAAAATACCCTCATTTCCTGTAATAATGGCACTACTACACAAAGGTTAATGACTCAGAACACAAAGAAGACACACGCAGAGACTACCTTTAACTAAGGATCGTTAATGCAAAGGTTAATATGTTGAGTTAAGTGCAGAGGTGGATTTTAATTTCCCTTTAGTGGAAGTGACACTAGTCTTGAGAGGTATAATGCCTGGATTTCCGGTTTTATTCACACAAAGCAATAGGTTGGATAAACAGACAGCTCCTGGTGGAAGCTCATAAAGGGACAATACAAACAGTGGATTTATTGAGTGTCTTTAGACAAACTCATTTTTTTTTTTCACTCCTCACCTGGAATTGTTGAAGCCATAGTTTGTTCTTGGATTGACTGGAAGAAGGCAGCCGATGCTCATTAGCCTAAAGCTGGGGTATCTAGTATCGAAACTACAAAAAAATTAACAATGTGACACAACCCATGCAACTCTCGCTGTCAAAACAAATTGGTGCTATCACTAGTTTTCACATGCATTTATTTTTGGTCTTCTGTCACATCTGTAGATCAGCTTTTTCTGACTCAGCCAATCAAATCTCAGCCCAAAACATTATATGTGTGTTTTTTTTCTTATTGATAATGTTTTGTGTGTGTGAGATAGACAGAATTTTGTGGTCTGATTTATTAACATTTTATTTTTACAGGAGTCTTTCTGTTATGGCGGCACAGTGGCTGAGTGGATAGCACTCTCGCCTCTCAGCAAGAAGATCCTAGGTTCAAATCCCGGTTGGACCAGGGCCTTTCTGAGTGGAGTTTGCATGTTCTCTCAGTGTCTGCATAGGTTTCCTCCGGGTACTCCGGTTTCCCCTACCACTAAAAACATGTACAATAGGTCTGGCATGCGCCTCCTGTACTGGCGACCCCGCTCCCATCTCTGTGTGGAGTGAGAGACAAATGCCCAAAAATAAAACCGCTTTGTGACTCTGGTCTGTGAAAAGCGGTATATAAATAAAGATTACTTACTGTTAGAAAACACAATTTGTTATTTATGGAAACAAATATACAGAAAATCATAGGTACCCCAGCTGTAGGCAATTATTATATCCACTGACAAATCTCTTTTAGAAAGGAGCTGTAAACAAGACACATTTTGTGATGGAGACCAGTAGGCTGACATGTGTTGGCATTCAGAAACGCTACAAAACAAATAAATTGGACGTTTGATTGGATGTTTATCTTTTTATCTACCTATCAAATGTATAGTTCCAAAACTCAATTCAGGAAAGTGTCTTGTTTTTAGTTTTTTCTCTAATTTAGAAAATGTTCAAAGGAAAAATTACCTCCCTATTCTCTTCTCAATCTTTATTTGTCATTAAAAACAGCCTATAGGCTTAGCAAAGTGCTGTACAGAACAGAAAAACAAAAAACAGCATCAATAAAACCACATACAAATCCATAAATTTGTAAACACATAACAATTCTTCTAACATTCTGACAATTTAGGATAGGCCTGGTATGAATGTCACTGTTTGCAGTGCAGTTCACGAGGGTCAAAGGGTTTCCAGTGGGTCCACAGGTGATACACTCTCACCGTCTCGGCAGTCAGACACTTTTATTAAACAACTCAGAGCCGCTTTTGTTTTCAGAAGCTCCGTGACGTCTCTCCAAACTCTAAGATCAGGCTGGCTTCTCATCTGGACTCACTCCAAATGGCTTCCTTTCTTCCGGTCAGTTTCCCAGTTGAATTCTTTTTTACGGTAAAGCCAAAAAAAAAGAGAAAGAAAAAAGCTCCCATGTTTGAGCTTCTTACATCATCACGCTTGTCTCAGACTTCATAATATCTTGGAGTAACATGAGACACAAAACATGGCCCAAATGTCTATTTATAGGCTGTGATTCACTCGAAGATGAAGCAAGCGGTCAGGTTTATCAATTAGGTGATTGTAATCGATCTCATTATGAATTCATTGTGGTGAATGAGTGAATGAGATGTTATTTGTGTTTCCAGTAATGCCATACAGATGTAGCGTAATGTAATTAAAAGCAGATGGGGTCCAGACTGGTGCAGGTCCATAGTGTTGTTGTCGATCATTCAGACAGTGACCAGTGTCTGACGGCTTTAGTAATGAAGTGACACACATGTGCAGCTCTCTGTGATCCAGTGAGTGGCAACACAGAGAATACTGAGATGCGTCAAACTGTTGTGAAAGTCATAAAACATGAGTTATAGCAGTGGGTTCTGGAGCCGAAAAGGACCAGTGATGAATAGTTTTTGATGACCAGACTCATGTTTGAATCAGGTCACTGAATGTTTAGTCTGTTTTTTAAACATAATGCGTATACTTATAGTATCAACCAACTTCAAAACATAAATGGAATTCATTAAATAGCTCTATTCTGCATTGTATATAATGTATTGAAGTATAATAATAATACAACAACCAATATCTACATTTGATGATTAATGATTTTATCATTAATCCGCATCAATCTGTGCACTTCTTCACAAACATAATCCATCCCACTTGACTTTCAAAGATCCTGCACTTAAAAAAGTGATGAAAAATAAGCAAAACATTGCTTGAATTGCAAAATGTATCTAAATTTGAGCACATTTTTTCTGCCTTAAAAGAGGATTTTCCATTGGGAA